ACGATAGAAAAAGAAATGGCTTCTATCGCTATCCACGATAGTACCAGACCGTGTCGCTTGAAAGCGTTTTACCCTTGTAGCCGTTGGAGCCAGCCTAACCAGTAATGGTGAAAGCTGTTAGAAGAAGAAGAAGAATTTCTCTAATTTAATAAATTTAGCAAGGTCGAAATAAACCAATAATCAACTCGACGGTTACGGTGAAGGGAATGAAATAATGAAAAATTTGTAATAACACTCTTTAGAATTAAAATCATCCACAAAGACGTTATAGGATCAACCAATGATAACCAATGATAATGATAATAATGACTTTCAGTCTGGTACTGCACACCAGAAAATGGAATAGAATGGGCCAGAAAAAACTCATTTAGGAAATTTGTTTAGTTAATTATAAACAAATATCAAACAAATATCAAGCATGGCATGTAGTTATTATGCTCTTAGTTTCAGACATTAATAAAAATAATGCAGTGAAAAAATAATAAAATACGAGACTCAAACAATAAAAGAGAATGAATAAAGAAATAAATAATAAAAAATCCTAAAGTTAATATCGGCATCACCTTGTTTAATTTTTATCATAACTTCGATCATAGTTTATCTTCTTCTTATTTCATTATGCACGGGAGGATTAGATAATATTATTTATAGAGGATGCAATCTCTCTAAGCTCCTATGGTACTTAATCCTTTTTTAGCATATTAGTCGAAATCCTCAGATTTAGAAATTATTATATAGCCCCTTTCTATTTGTTTTCGAAATAGAAAAAAAATGAAATAGGTACATTCCATATTTATTATGTATTCTACTTATGTTTTAATATGTATATTGATTATCAAATCATCAATGTTTTGTCTAATTCTGATATGCATTTGCCAACGATGACTACTGAAAGGTTTTTATCGGACAATTGGAGAATTCAGCATTATTTTAAAATTAAACACAACATTACATGATTCAATGGCTTTATGAAATTAAATCACCTTTAGGTGAATGTTTGACTCTAAACTTTGCATAGTGAAGGCTCTGATCTGTAATTAATTCATATTGATAATATTCTACTTGTAAATGATATGATATCATTTGATATCACATGATATCAGATTTTGGCACGACAGTTGATGAGAATTTATTGATTTATAATACTCACTGAAGGAGTAGTTGAGTTAATTTATTTCAATAAGTCCATCATAATTCTGAATTAAAAGAGACTTCAAATAGTTTTGGTTCATTAGTATTGATGCATAGATTATAGAATTTATTATAGCCTAATTTAATTTGGTTGTAATTTTCTAAGTGAGTAGACCTGCTTAGACCTATTCTGCTATTCTTATGCGAAGCAAATTTTATGAATAACTCAATTTGATTAATTGAGCCCAATATTTATCAGAAAGTATGTCTGCAATAATTTTAAATCGAGGAGAATAATCTGCTGAGAATAACTTAAGAATGGCTTGCAATAAATATCTTATAAAAATGATAAATAATAAAAAGGAATTTTTTTCTCCATTTTTGAATAATCTAAAGATAAGATTCACGCGTTTAGATAATTTTTTTATTACTTTTATTATCTTTTTTCTTTTATTACTTTTTTTAAGAATTGCTCTGAGAATTAATAAATGATTTACGCATTTCTCTATTGTTAAAGGTCAGAGGAAAATCGAAACCTTTAGGATTGAGATGCAAGGCTTTATATTTGCTAGTAGAAAGAAATTATTTGCCTTGGAACCAGTCAGCCATCTTATTCAGATCGTCCAATAATATTACAGGACATCCCAGTAATACAGGACATCAGATCATCCAATAATAAATAATTTTACAGTCATTAGCATTTAGATATCAGAATTTGCTACAAAATGCTAATATCATTGATGCGTATCAAGAGATGCAACTATTCTTAGGTTCGCCATTTGGCTCACTCTTGAGATGAAGTTTTTATTAAGTATGGCTTGACAACGATCATTTAAATAACTTTCAGTCTACTTCTACAAATTACCAGTAGTACGCTTTTTAAAAATAGCCAAACAATCTCTTAAGGGTGAAAATATTGAAATAGCAAAGTATTGAAAGGCTATTTGATTGTGCACGGTCCAGATACCGTGCAATAAATAAAGGTAAGGATTTACTAACAGCTGGCAAACAGTTGATTTCCGAGCATATTTGATATTTGGTAATTTATTTTCATGGATGAATTAATTTTCATTAATTTCATTAATTAAAATGAATGTTCTTTGCATAATTCTTAACAAATATTTGTACCAAAATTGAAATATTCACAAAAATGTTTTTAAAATATATTTTTTTAAAATATGAATTTAAAAATTTTTAATATTAAATTAAATATTTGATTAAATATTGGATCGTTGTTTATAAAAAAAGTTGCAAATACATTAAACCTAATTAATAAATGAGATTGTAAATTAATGAATAACACTGATTAATGAAATCTTAATCGCATTAATTATCGATAATAAATCATATGAGAAAAAATTTTAAAACGCTTACTTTGCCAAAAAATAAAGCGAAATTTTTACAGAAATTGAAATTTTCATAGAAATTAGATTTCAAGATTTATCAAGAAATTTACAGAAGTCATTTCAATCGAATGATAAAAAATTAACAATCATTTCTTTTGTGACAAATTTATCGCTGTTTACATGACAATCATGGATGAATTTCTCCCATTTTTCGCTCAAATAATAATCTTCCCAAGAATGTTTCAATTACTTTTTTCTAAACTTTTAAAAAATACAAAATTATATGTAACATTTCTAAAAATGAAAAAAATGGATTTTTAATAAGCAAATAGAAGAATTTACAGCAGCCATTTACGAGAACTACTATTCGCCATTTAGCTGCAACTTGTGAAAAAATCAATTTTTGGAAATTTTTGAAAATTGGCTACAAATTTTGGGAATTGGTTGCAAATCCTACAGAAGTTTTAAAATTGAAGAAAATTTAATAGACTCTTGAAATATTGAAAATCAACATTCGCGATTCAATTCAATTTTTTTCAGCAAAATTTCTAATCATAAAGCTAATAATTGAGAAGTTTTGAGAAGAAAAGGCGAAAAAGAATTAAAATTTTGCTGAAAAAAATTTAAAAATTAAAAATTTATATATCGTACCAATAATATAATATAATATTATATTAAAAAATATTACAAAGCCAGTGGCTTATTTCTCATGAAACATCCAAATTCATCCAAATTCATGAAGTGACCGATCAGCCAGCTAACATTTTTCACAAACCGATGTAAGTCGTAAAACCAACAGCTTAGATTTCTCATGAAATATCGAAAAGTGTGGAACATCCATATATTACCTTCATTTAAGGTAATACTCTCCAAATGAAAACAGATATGGACAATATGGATAAAAAAAGGAAAATTCTTGTTCAATCCCATTCTGGTAATTTAAATTATGAATATAGAAAAAAAGAACTTCAAAAATGTAATTATTTCCAAGTATATCGTTTGGACTCTCTTCATAAAATTTACGATAATTATTTATGATATTCTATTATCACTTTTCTTACTAATTACACTGATAATGTTAATGATGATAATTTTGACAATTATCGATAAACCACCTATAGAAAAAATTTTTAAATTTTCAATTGCATCAATAATTAAGTTTTCAATTGCATCAATAAATAAGTTTTCAGTTCAATGATATTTTCAATACATTTTCAAGATGTTTTTTTAAAGACCACTTACCATTGCTGATTTCGCTCCGCTGGCTTATCGCACTCGACAAATATGCCAGAGAGTCCACTGGGTGATAAAGGAGAACGATATAAATAAAGGTGGGTAGCCTGTTTTTCAAAATAAATTTAATAATTAAATTAGGGACCACAAATTTGAATAGATTCGAGTTTGCCAGAGACACGGCTCGCATTTTATACCAAATATAATACTAAAGTTCGGTAAAATTCTATCAATAATAAATGGTAAAAATTTTGGAAATTATTATTTTTCTTTTAATAAAATTTACACTCTTTAAAAGGCCCTTTATTAATCATCGAATCTTTTTACAGAATCAGTGTATAAAATAAATGAATATTCAATGAATACATTATTATCACATAAAAATCAGTAAAGCACTTTGATAATGAAAAATACAGGTGAGTCGCCTGTTTTCCAAAATATATTTGACAATTAAATTAGGGATCGCAAACTAACTTTTAAAAATTCTTATGGATTATTAAAAATTTTTACAAAAAAAATTGCATTGCAGTTGATAAGGGATTTTGAATTCGATGGGATTTGAAAAAAAAACGAAGAAAAATTTCATTTTAACGAATCAAAAACGATAAATTCTACTGCAAAAAACAATTTTTTGCCTACAAAAAAATTTGTATTCATTTGATAATAATTAAAAATAATATATTAATTCAAATAAACGTATTTTTTCTTTTAAAAATTCTTTCGTTAACAAATTAATTACAAACTTCAATCGAAATTTTAGTAATTTTTATCTAAAAAATATTACTAATATAAAACGGAAATTAACTTTACATTAAAATTACAAATTAAAATTTTTCAAGGAGAAAATTACTCATAAAATATAGTTTTTCAATAGAATTAAGTTCATTTATAAAATTAATATTTTTAAATAATTCGCTTCATTAAAAATTAAATAAAAATTGAGCATGGCGAGCAATGGTGAAAATTATGGTTGGGGTAGCAACCAATAATGTTATGTGGAAATCATATGACAAGAATAATTATCAATTATAAATAGTTTTGTAAAAATTTGGGTTTTACGAACCATATTTTTGCGCTATTTTCATCATCAGCTCACCCTATCATATACAATTTAATCACATATTATAGCATATATAATACTTGTTAAATCTTGTTTATATACAAAACAAATATATAACGAAGAATTATTCCAAATATTATTTGTGCTTTCTGTTCGATTGATATTTAAACATTTGAGGAAGTGAGATTTTCAAGAAGATTCTCTGGCAACTGGAAATAATTATAATTATTCTAATTAAACTAAAAAATATCTAAAATAAAATTTATCGAATTGTTAACCAACAAATCGAATTTCTGATAACCGAGAATATCTTTGCAAGTTTTTTGGAGAAGGGAATACACATGAAGAAATTTAATTATAGTTTTGTTATCATCAGAATTTTTTATCAATTTCTTTTCATCATTTCCATATTATTATCAAGATTATGTTATTATCAAGATTTATCGTTTAATATGAGTTAATTTGAATGATAAGAAAAGAAAACATACATTCTGAGAATACTTTATTCTTGAATTCGATGGAGGACAAACAAGTTCATCGGGTTCAACGTAAACTTCACTCTTACCCTTTTTACGAGTCAGTGAAAAGCCTTTCTTAACAAGCTGCAATTCTTTGAAATTGAATCGATTTCTTGAACTATAAGGAAAAAAAAAAACTTTTAAAACCGAAGAAAATATGAAGCACAGTTGTGCTTGAAGTGAGTAATTTGAAACTTACACGAATTTTTAAAGATGGCGCTAATTGGGCGACATAAGGTTGAGCAAGTATCGTTCGTTTATGACTTATAATATCTTGTCCAAGTAACTGATTGAAATGCGTTGCCAAGTGTCTCCTTAGAAGTGTTTTATGAGGGGGGATTTGAAGAACTTCGGCAAGAGATTCGGCAGTAAATGTCGGCTCATGTACCTATAAAATGAAAAATTATAAAAACTCTTTTGAACTAGAAATAAATGAGAATTTCTTTTGAAGAACCAATGATTTATAAGCAAAAAGTACCATAAGAGCTCCATGAATACCAGCGCATAATAAGTTCGGAGTAAATTCGGCTAAATCGATAGCTTTCAGCCACTGACAGACACAATGATGTGACCAACATTCAACAGTACTTGGAGAAGGTCCCTTGTGTATAACTTCCTAAAAAATAGCAAAAAAAATTCCTGCGGGGAATAGAATCTCAACATCGGCGATCCGAATTAAGCAATAACTCACTGAGCCATTCTACTCTCTATTCTACCTCAATTCTCAACTATTTTGCCTTAATTTTATTATAATTTATAATTATAATATAATATAATTTTATTATAATTAATAATTTTTTAAATTTCTTGAATCTTGGGGGAGAATATATTTATTAAAATCTTTTTTATAAACATGTTTCTCTCACTAACAGGATTAAAATGCCGCTCAATACGATTTGGACAAAAATCGATCGATCGAAGAAACTGAATGCCTCGGGCAATAGTTGCATGATGTAAAGCTGAGGTTATCTTCATCTGAAATTCTTTAACATAAAAAATAAAATAAAATGAAAATAAATTTAAAAAATTAAAACATTCACATTTTGATGAGCATGCCCCATTGAAGATTATTTTTCTATTGGAAATCCGCCTTTTGACTTCTAAACAGCTAAATAAATTCATTAAAAAAGCCGGCATTTATGCAAATCCAGAATAGAAGCGCCTAATTTCCATTTATTAGATCGTTTTTCAACGAATTTTGGATTATGACGATATAATGATTTAATCAATTAGACTATAATAACAATAAAACGGCCCAAAAGCCAACTTCCATAAGATCCTGGGCGGTTAAGATTGTTAGCATTTGTCCATCTATCATGTTTTCAGCAAAATTATCTCCATACTGAGGAATTCCGATATCATCCAACCAACGAACAACCTAAATAAAATGAACTAATCGAATAATTGGTACAATAATGAAAACATTGAACAACTTCAATAGCATGAATAGAATTATTAATTTAACGAAAATTGAAATAAGAAAAAAATTACTTGATGAACGTCCATTCGATCGGATGAATCCGAAATACCTCGGTTTATGCTATTTAGTATGCAACGTAACCTCTTCCGATGCAAAACATTCTTCATTAATAATTCCTAAAAAAGAAAAATTCCCCTCAATTATAATAATTTTGCTTAAAAATTTATATCGAAAATTAATAAGAAATAAATTTTTTTATGTATAATTTTATATAAATAAATTATGAAAGGAATTTGGTTTTATTTCGGTAAAATCTGCCTCTGAAAAACTGCGACAATAATGGTGCCTCATTTTTATGTCCATTCCCTAGCGAAATTTCTCTGTTTCGGTGAAGGCAACGGAGCGAGGCTAACCAGAAATGGCAAAAAAATTTTCGAAAAAAAAATTTACTTTTTCGAATTCCTGATTTGTCATATTTAATAAATGTCGCCCGTTTCTCACAAATCTTCCAACTTCAGGCACGTACAAACTGAATCCAATTTCAGCAATCCACTCACATATCTGGTCAGTGGTCCAATCAACGAACTGCTGAATTGGAGGACGCAAAGCTATTGCACCGGCAACTGGTCCAACCGATGCTAAACGTGCTGATACGCTTGATCTATAAAAGTGCTTTTTGAATATTTCGCATATTAAAAGAATAAATAAAACGGTGAAAAGATAAAAAAATAAAAAAAATGAATTTTTCCTCTAATGGAGTAATATAATGAGTTCCACTTATTTATGCATAAATCATTGCCCACACTAACCGAGTGGCACTTCCACGACGAATCTCACTTGATCGAATTTCTTGTGATGTGCTCCTTGTCAACTTTCCAAGTAGATTTTTCAAGGATGTCCTAAAATATCTTTCATTATTATATCGATCATCATTTTATGAATTTTTTAGCTCAAAATATCTAAATTACTTTGAATACTTAGCAGTTTCAAGCGAATTACAAAAATATGGATTTTTTTTTAAAGTAATAAAAAACTAATGGAATAATTTCAGTTCGAAATAAAACATAAAATAATAATAAAAAATTTATAGATCAACCTTGTTCGATCACGTTTAAATCTATCTGTAGCGAATCGAGACTGCCTTCCTCGCATAACTTCATCATCACTTTCAACTGCAATATTTTTGTTTTTTTTGCATAAATTTAAGCAAATTTAGGCAAATTTGATTTGAAGCTTTTCAAGCAAAAAAGCAAAAAATTATAATTTCAGAGAAAAATTTAATTTAATACATGAAAAATATTAATGTGATTTCTGTGATCAAATGTGATTAAATTTCTAATTTAGTAATTATTTAACGGATAAAAAACAATGAATTTAAAAATTTAAATTTAAAAATTTAAAAATTCAAGCACGTTGAATTATATAAATCGTCTTAAAATTGCCTTAATTATTTGCAATGAACGACAAAACGCGAAGAAAGACTTTTAATTAAAACTTAATTAAATCGGCCAAGACAAATGATAATAAAATTAGTTCTAATAAAAGCAAAAATTAAATTAAAAGTTAAAAGTGTCGTTAATAGTGAATGTGCGTTGAATGATTTAATATAGCCTAACGAACAATGAATTTCATTTTTATCTTAAAACCAAACCAAGTTCCGGCCTTTGGACCGTAGTCCTCGTTCTAACTTATTGCACCAGTCCAGAAATTTGTCTATGATTAATTATATTTAAAATACGCAAGATGAAGACGGCTAGACCATTTATTTCGACATTTCTATTCCTTGGCTGATTAATTAGACTCGTTTTGCGATTTAAAAAATTGTTGCATGTTGCAAGCGAATTGGTTTTTTAACATATGTATTAGTTTATAAATTAAGCGCGGTGTGGATTAGGGAACGAAGAAACAATTATTTTAGCAGACTCCACTGATCTCTGTCCACTAAAAATTCTCTTAGCAAATATCCATGGTAATAGCCATAGGCCAAATGAAGAAAAAGATATGGAAAAAGAATATTTTAAGATCAGTAGAGTACATTTATTGCACACGCATGCCTCACTCTCATTTTCATTTTCAGAAGCAGTTGTTCTTCGCCCATGACCATCATCATCATCATAATCATCGACATCACTGCACAACGCATCAATCGCACGGGGACCTAGATTTGGGGCTGAAGTTGATCGTTTGTCAACACGAGAAAGTATTTTGTCGTGTAGCCATTTGTTCATTTGTTGACGATAGGATCTCATCGGTCGACGCGATGCTCCGCTAACACTTGCTGCTGAACGTGATACGATTATTGGAAACTCACCCGATATGCCAGTCGATGCAGTAGATGATAATTTCTTTCTTGGCAACGTTAAGGTTGAAGCAGCCTAGAAAATTTGAAATGAAAATAGTATGATAGTATGAAATAGTGATTCTACTATAAATATAGATAAATAATAGTAAACCACAATAATATCCATAATTTTCACGGAAATGACAATTGGGTACCTTTGCCGATTTTAAGGAGCGCGATAAGCTTCCATTGTTCATTGAAATATCATGTTTCTGCTGTATTTCTCCTCCAATTCGACGTAATTCATCCAATTCTGCTGCAAGTTGCCGGGCTGCTGGTGAAGACGGAGATCGATAGCTGAAACTCATTAATCAAGAATTTAATACGAATTAACAAAAAATTAATGTTTAAAAAATAATAAAAAATTAGATACTTAGACACGGACGTCCCTGGAGAGTTGCTTGTCGCTTGTGATAAACCAGTAGTATTCAAAGCGATATTTCCATATTGTACATGATGGCGAGGAGTACCTGAATTGGACCAACTATGTTGCGGTGAAGCAGCAGAAAGTGACGAAGTATATGAAGACGAAGACTGTAATAAGACTATATTAAGAATAAAATAAAAAAAAGCTATCCAACAACAAATTTCACCGTTCAAAACCCTCGGTGATTACTAAATAATTTTGATTCGGTGGTCAATCGTTGAATTTAAAAAAAGAGTACTTGTATCGCTGAAGGTGTTCTCGATGATGTGGAAGTATTTTGATGTTGCTGAGTGCTATAAAAATTGCTCGGAAATGAAGAAGAATGTGCTATGTGATCGTTATAATCCTCCTAAAATTTCAATAAAGATAAGAAATAATTTGCATAAATCAAATTTTTTGCCAAAATCTAAATTTTTTCTATAAATTACAACCGATATAAAAGAAAAATTTAATTTTAATAAAATTAAAAAAGCAAGAAAAAAGCATTACCATAAGTAATTTTCTGATTTGTACATTTATATCAAAAGGTTGCACTCCTAGTTGTTGTTGCTGTTGTGACTGTTTCTTGGTACCATTTATTATACCTGTTCGTTGTACAGACAATGATGGTGAATTGTAATGGTTTTCACGTTCATAACGGCAATATTCGTCAAGAGCATTTCGCAATGAATTGATGTGCATATCCTGAAAATTTTCCAACTGAAAATAGACAAAAACTTTATCAAAACTATATAGTTGCTGAATTTCTAGCCTTAAACTTTTCATTTGTTTACATGTAATTGATAACTGATAATTGATAAATTATAGTAACTGATGAATTATGTAATTATCATTCATATTCTAATAAAAATATGACAGAAATTTGCAGTTAATAGCAAAATCTCTACTACGGTATCCGTCAATTTTAATTTTATGTAGGATTAATTTTATTATTTAAATCTTTGAGTTTCAATATTCTTTACAGAAAGAAGATAATTTTCCCGGTTAAAATTTTCGGAAATTAACTTTCTTCAATATTTTCAAGTGAAAAGTACATTTTTGATTGAATTCCTTCAAATATATACAAAATTACTTTTCATTTCAAAAAAACTAATATCGAACAATAACTTTAATTTGCTTTAATGAATCGAACGAAATTACTTCTTTAATTTTTTGCACAAAAAATAAATCGAATAGAGCGCTCAAAATATGCGAAAAAATAAAAATAACTGAATTCGACACCTTTTGTTCATTATCGACGATAAGACGTTGGACGGCCAAACGTAACTGTTCCATTTCACTCGCTGAAAACATTTTAAATGCTCACATATTTATTTACATAAAGCATTTTACAACATTAATAGGTCAATGTTCTATCATGAAAATGAAAAAGAAATGAACCAGAGACTCATCCAAAACGCCAAACGGTTAAGTGAAATGGCATAGGAAAAAGTAGTTTGATTTTTTTATAATCAATGTTCAACTGAAATTCTGTGATTTCCTTAAATTGTGAATAGAACAAATCATAGAAGTAAATAGCGAAAATAGAAATCATTTTTTCTTATCTCTCAACTCCTATAAATTCTAGCTTAAGCACTTAAAAGCATTAGCCGAGAGACAAACTCATAGGCAACAGGTAAGTAGTTCATGGAATTAAAAAATTAGGATCTCCTAGTATAAAACGTTATCACTGTTTAGGAATAAAAAGTAAAAAACACCATTCAACAATGGTACCAGAAAATAATGTAAAATTCTTTGAAAATACCTGGTTCGCCAGTCCTTTTTATTATGGATTCATTCAAAATCGTTTGAGGCAAGGTGCCTTGTGCTTGGATTTGAATATTTTGGAACTGAGGATGAAGACCGTGTTGCATCATAAAACCTTGCATTGACTGGTTTAAATGTTCAATTTCCGCCTAAAAATAAAATAGATGTTAAAAAATTAAAACTAATACAATTTTCGTAATGTCTGGACGAAATCATTGCGCATCTAGAAATAGATTGGGAAATTTTCTAGTGAAAACTGTAGAAAAATGCAAAAGCTTACTTGCGATAGCCGAAGTTTTCTCTCAGTTTCGAATTTTTCTCTCTCAAGAGTTGCATATTTTAATTTTAAATTCGAGACTTCAGCCATTAAATCTAATTTTTTTGATTCCAGATCACCTCGATTAAATGCATGCTGCAATTTTATTATTTTCATTACAGAGCGAATTATTTGAACTATAAAAAAGTTTTTTAATCTATTACCAAGTGAAAATAGAATTTATGGATCCATTAACCCCTAGGCAATTTGATTTTAAAATTTTTACCTCTTATAAAAAAAGCCTAAAAAATAAAAATGGCGCCATTGCAATTTCATTACTTCATTACCAATTGCCTCATCGATTATAGGAAAATTATAGCCTTATTTGTGATAAATATTGTTGATTTGGGAAATTTTAATGTAACTTAGAGTAATTTTCCCATAGGACTCGTCGCGAAATCACTACAAAAACGAAAGTTCGCGTTTATATAGTAGGCGATTCCGCTCGATCTTGCTATATGTGTGCGAGACATGGTAATTGAGAGTGGAGGATATTAAGAAGCTATATGCCTTTAACCACTTATGTATAAGATACATCTTGCGGGTTCGGCCAAGTTGATAAAATCGAACATGATTGCATCCACTTTCGCTCAAATAACATCTTCAGTACCATCACCATCGTTAAACAAGAATGCCGTCATACGTGCTGACTAGGGCATTCTTCGTAGCCCTCCACAGGAGTTCACACGTATTTCGTTACTTGCCGAAAATCTTGACGGATCGCGTCTAAAGAAAGGCTCACAAAGCCATGCCACATGATGCTTTCTTGAGTCAGAGGCGGCAACGATTTCTATTCCTTGTAACACAATGATGCTTATGGTGTTACCGTTTTCATTTTATTTTCATTAATTTTGACGCAATTTTTTGAAGTCTCAATTAAAAACGCTCTAATGGTTGTTCCAATTTTTATTATTGCAAAAGAAAAAATTTCATTTCAATCCAATTCAATTCAAAAAAAGAATACTTACTTCTTGAAGAAGCTCTTCGGTTGAATCTAGCTTATTTCGTTTCGAAGCTAATAGATGTTCAAGGTCTCGAATTTTTTCCTTTTGCGCACCAACTTGCTCTGTCAAAACTGTTACCTAGAATGTTTTCACAAACTTTCAACTTTTTTTTGCTCACCTTTCGTTCATTTTGCTCTTTTTAATCTAATTTCGAGAAATAAGAAACATTTTACAACAAGAAATACCTGTAATGAAAGACTATCTCTAGCTAGAGCAAGCCTGTGGAGTTTTTCTTGCAGTTCGGGATATTCTGGGCAGGAAACCGTCGACATCGATGGTGACGGGCTCTGAATATAAATAATTTATATATGAGGACAATAAATGCAATCTAATAAAACAATCTTTTATTTTCTTTCTTTCATAAACCATTTATTGCTTAACTGATTCCACTAACTAAAAGAATGAAATACTTTAGACAGAGATTCAATTATAAATGGAAGCGCTTCTAGCAGCAACTTAAAATTCCATTTTTGATGGCAAATTCCCTCCCAAAACATGAAAATTTTGTGTAGAAAGATAAATAAATAAGAATTAAAAAAGATAATTTAGAATAAAAAAGATTAAAATAGCAAAAATAAAAAGAACAATCTATTTATAAAATTTTTTATTAAATTTATCAACTCAACTTACTTTAATAATAAAATAAATGAAATAAAACTTTGAGAAATTATTGAATTTATAAAATACTATTTAATGAAAAGAAAATATATTACTAAATTGCTAAATGTTAAATGAAAAACGTTTGGTAGAAATGCTAGAAAAGATGTTGGAAAAAACACTATTCGCTGTAAACACTTCGGAAAAAAATTTCCTTTAACTGATAACCATAAGAAAAACTGCAATTTCAATAATGTTAATTAGCCGCGCATCTTGAATTTCAGATAATATCGAAATTTCTTTTTGTAAAAGTTAAGAGCTAAGCAATTATCCGTTCATATAATGTAAGCATATTGGTACATCTTAGTATATAGTGACTAGACAGAACAACGGATTAATTGCAGCTCAGACCGTTAGTAATTCGGACGGTACCTTCGATGAAACACTAAACGAAAAAATCTGAGTGGTACTGACGATCCATTTTAATTTTCTATCAGAAAATGATTCACTGGCAAAAATGTCTCTCATCATTATTAAAGCCATTAAAGCATTTTAAAGGCCTAACGAAAGAGCCCTTTTTCATTTAGTTTACTTACTTGCCACTGACTTTCAACTTAAACTATCATACGGTAAAGAAAATTGATGATCTATACCGATGAGAATAATTTAGAGAATCAGAGAAATAATTCACTAAAAAATCGCTTATAAAATTTAAAAAATGAAAATGTTGTAGCAAACTGTAGTGTGAAAATGTTAAATAATGCAAATAGGAAATGCTTTGATTATGGATGGATGGATTTACCTATGGAAATGGATTAGGAAAATATGGGAATCGTCATTATTGCTAGGACATTTTCAAGGTGATTAATAACACAAATAAATAATTCGTTCTGCAAATATTGAAGAAAATCTAATCAAATTTATTTATATGAAAGACGGATTCCATCTGCCTCTGCGTTTTGCATTGCTTTTAAAAGAAAATAATACATATATGCAATGGAAGAATGAAATACATAAATAGGCCTATTTTAAAATTGATTTATTCAGGTCTGATAAAAATGAAGAAATTGATAAAAGATAACATTTTTTAAATCATTTCTAAACAGTTGGTTCAGTTATAAATAAAATTTAAAAATAATGAATTAGAAATTCTCATACAAAGCTAATGAATTACCAAATTCGTTTTTGTGTATGATAAATGCTTAATTTGGAATTTGATGAATCTCAAAAGCTAAAATTATTTCCGTCAATTTATATGTTATCAGATATGTTATTAGATATAGACTTTCAAGATAGGTCTGTTTTATCATATCATAAGGAATTAAAAATGCACTCCAAAAATTCGACTGGAATCCATTTAATGGAATGCAAAACGAAAAAAAAAAATAGTTTCCCTTAGCAACGAATTTTGATAATCAGCATAATCAGCGCTATTTTAAGATGATTGATAACTCACTCTTAAGCATTGGCATCAAATACTAAGACGTAAAAACGATAAAACTGTGGATTTATTTTGAAAACTGAAAAAGAAATGAATGCTAATGAATGCTCGGTTGAAACAAAAAGAAAATCATATCATTTTCTCCTTTTCAACAATTATTAAAATAATAAAAATGAATCCAAACGAATATTCCATTAAGTGAAATATTAGTTTTTGAATTTGATTTTATTGCAGTCCAAGTAATTTATAATTTTGATTTTAATTGAATAAAAATTGAAATAAAAAATTTGAAAAAATACAAGTTCATCAATAAATTTTAGATTTTATAGAATTCTTCACAGTCTTTATAAATTTATTTGTGCTATAAATTGTGATATTTTTGAAATTTAAAAAGAAAAAATTTTTATGAATTTTTGAAGAAATAAAATAATTTAAACATAATCGCAGCATTAAAATCTATTTCATAAGTAAAACAAAAAATAAAATAAAAAAGATCTAAGCAAATTTTTGATATTTAATAGAGAGAATTTGACAAATTTCTTGCAAAAATCAAAAATAATAATAAAAATTTTGTTCACATAGACTATTATTGTTCGAAGAAGAAAAATATAAGGATTATTGAAAAAAATCATAAGTTATAAATTTTAATCTAAAATATACAAATGAAATATACGATGTGGTATTGAAATTAAGCCATTTAATCACAATTAAAATGATAAAACTTTTTCAGAGAAATTTTCCGATCAAAAAAAAAGAAAATTTTAAACGAATCATTAATTAAATTCAACTGAAAAATTATTTCCGGCACAATTTACAAATTATTACAATTAAATATTTCAATAAATAACTTGATTAATGAAAGAACGAATAACATTCATGAGAAACTAAAAATATAGAAACTGAAAATTTTTTTTAAAATTTTTTAAATTCTTTTCTATTTTTATATTTAATTTTTTAAATTTTGAAAAGAAAAATTACAAAATCTTAAAGATTACAGAATTTTTTTAAAAAATTCATCCTACGACTGTTTCGTTTTGATAAAAAAAATGGCGAAAATAGATGATAAAAAATGATAAAAAAAGAAATAAATGATGATCACATATCAGAAATATTTAAAATCTTAAAATGAACAACGTGAGATAATACGTAACTGAAAGTTTAATTTGCATAATAAATAAATACGAAGAGCGAGGATAATTCAATATATATTCTCATTTTATTTGATAGTTGGAAATGGATGTCTTCGTTGCAAAACCACTGATAATCAATTTATAATAATTAAAATAAAACTAGAAACGAAGCAAAAAACTTATAAAATCTATTTAGATAATATATTAATATGTGTCGATTTTCATTAAAATTCATTAAATTTTTTGAAAAAAAGAAATTTGACTCAAAATATAAAATTAAAATTTTGCACGAAAACAGTGGAAAATGATGAAAAATAAATAAAAATGACCTAATTTTCTATTAAAATAAAATTTATGAAATTAAGAAATTTATTAAAATGAACGCTGAAAAAAAAGGACAAAAAAAATTATCGCAGTAAATCAAAGATGGATTGTTTTATTAAACAATAGAATCAAACAAATATAGCAGAAAAGGACCATTTTCGATTTCGCAAATTTAAAATTTTCCAAGTTTTTTTTTAAGTAATAAATCCAACAATCAATTATGTTTTAAATAGAAAGAGATAAGATCACTTACTCTAGAAGTCCAACTACTACCGCGTTGCGTATGATAGAGTTCCTGCAATATATTGACACTACCACCGGGTTGACCACGAATATGGCTAATTTGTTGGCAACCAGTTCCAGATGCATATCTCGAATCACTTAGACTACGATGTATTCGATGCGCTTTTCCAGAACCGCGCATCCGATATGGAGGTGGCGGTGGTAGATATGAACAACTTGAGCCGCTACTTAGCGTGCTTGAAAATCCCGAATCACTATAGTGTGTCACATATGGCAATATCGAGCGAGAAGCCGTTGAAGAGGTAGTACTCCTTGAATTTACAAAAATCTACCGTCGTCTATTTTCTTTTTTTTATCATTGAGAATGAATATGATTTATTTAAAAAATTTAATCATAGAAAATAACGGAATAAAATTTTGTTTACGCGATGAATCGAGAATTTTTATTTATTAACTTTAGCGACCTCAGTTGCTTCACTTATTTATATAATTAAATTTTTGATAGGTTTTGTGAATTGTTGATTATTTTTATTATTATTAATTGGCTGATTTCATCGTTTAAAAATTTCGAGAAAAAAAAAGAATTTTCATAAATTGAAATAAATTACTTCATTATTTATGTAATAAATTTTGCAAAAGTTTAAGATTGATTTTTAGAAAAAAAAAATTTTATTTTTCAATTGAAAAATTTTTTTGTAAGAAAGAAAAAGGTGAAAAATCGAGAATCGAAAAAAAAAAACAATAGTAGATTTCGATGCATGGCGCTATACCATTCTCGAATAGATAATTTATTTATCGAACCAGCCGTGCATAGCGACGAAAATATTAGATGTTTATTACTAAGTGTGACTTCTGCATATATTACTGGATGTACTGGAAATTTGATTAAATTCACCTCAAGGACGACCTGTTCTCCTTGAAAGCTGATCCAGCTGAACTGCCTCTAAGAACAGTATAAGATCGTGCAGTTTCAAATGGGCTTTGAGTACCGCCAGAAAAACCATTAGAACGAGCAATTTCTCGACGAAGTTCCCCACTACTCCTACATAAATTTTCTGGAATTGACATTTGCAAATAGAATTCACGAATAACTTCTGCTTCAATAATTTTGCTTTTAGAACAATAACTCTCCACTGAATTCTCCTTGGCGCATAATTTTATAGTAGTTTTAAAGCAGTTTTTTCGTCTTCTTAGCAAACAAACAGTTTGCTAAATTTACATGACAAAAAAAAGAATCCAGAAATTTGATCACTTCGCTACTGCAAGATTGGCACTTTTCTTCTTTAAAATATGAAATAGAAAATAATAAATGATAAAAAGTCGATCCTTAGTTCTTCGAAACTGAAAATAATCCAAGAAACACGCCAAGAACTAATGTGAAATGCAAAGTGGCACTAGGAAAATAGGAAAATCATTTGAGTAATGGAACACATTGCTATCACAACTGTTATCACTCTCTATCCTGTGTTTTCTCTTATACGCTACTTTTCGATCTCATCCATTATTCTAGCAATTATTCTCGACTTTTCTCAATCTTCAATATGATTATCTTCTTGGCAAATATCCATTACCGCCCCCCGTAGATATTAGCTTTCATACCAACAAGACACATTATAATTCCATCAAATCTTCTTTATATATTTATTTAATTAAATAAAAATTATAAAATTTAATAAATAATTTACAATTTAAAATTAAATTAATTGCTTTTAAATAAATAATTTTCGTAATTAACAAATTTTTTCTCAAATTTTTTCTCAAAATCTAATAAAATATAATTTTTAAATTACAAAAAATTGCTAAACTGCTTTTTTTTTATTTGGCTATAAACAAATAAATAATTTGAACTTTAATGATTGCTGAAAATGATTGGAAATGATTTTAAAAATCCAAAAAAAAGAAATCATTTATAAATAAAATTTTGAAGAATTGTTGCAGAGAGTCAAAAAATGAAAGAAATAAGCGGCTGTTACTTAAAATTTATTGTAAAGACTTTTAGTGAATTCCTTGAATACTAAAGATTTTTCGAATCAATGAGAAAAAAGCTTTGAGAATTTCGAATTTATTCCATTTTATATTGGATAAATTAATTAAAATTCAGCCAGCAAACAATAAATTTAGCTATAATTTAAAAAAAAGAGCTTTTCCACCAGAATAGCACAAAAATAGATAATATGATGCGACCGATTCACTAATATTTTTAAAGATATCTTAAAAGTATCCCATCGACTTTCCATTATTGTTATTGTCATTATTAATAATATTAAAATTATTAATATTAAATTAAAAATTAACTAACTGACAATTAAATATTATATAAGCGAGTGTCACCTTTAAATAGAATTAGTCAATTTTTTAAAAGGACCTGCGATTTCAATAAAAATTTAACAAATCCGATAAATTTTTTTCCATTTGCGAACACGTTTAGATTCCTTTAGTTGAAAAAATATTCTATCATTCTCATATCAAATAAGAAACAACCAATCATTTGAATAATAAAGTCACCGATGGATTTTTTTTTGGAAAAACGATAAGATAATAGGGTAATGAGCGTCTCATTTCCCTACCAAATTCGTTTTTCCGCCTTCCGTCCGATTTAATGAAATAATGGCCTATAATCGTGCAAAATTTTTTCCTTTCAAAATCGATTAATTATTGAGTGAAATTTAATTTTGATTAATTTTATTTAATTTTATATATTATATATAAATAAATGTGATAAATGTGAAATAATAGTTTAATAATTACACCAAAATCAATTTAATATAAATGCGACGAAATGATAAAATTTGGCAGAAAACGTATTTGAACTATAAAAATTTTCCTTCACGCTTTCAATATTATAAAAATTCCAACAAATATCTCTTCCTTCTTTTTTAGCCAATGGAGACATATCGAATGAAGAAAGATTAATTCATTCTCGAACGACTGTGTTATTATGTAAAAAGAAAATAGTTTTTTAAATAATAATACTTCATTAATCGAGTAATTGACGATTAATAAAGAAATGAATATATTTAAAATAAAAAAAGATATGAAAGCAAACATAGAAAATGAAATGAAATGTTTTCAGCAAAAAAAAACCATTATATCTTCTATGTTATTTTTAATTTTAAATAAAAATATAAAATATATTGAATTTTAACGATTCTAAACCAATTTACAATTTACACATAATTAATTCTTGAATATTTTAATTGCATGCGAGAATAAAATATTAAAATAAAATGCGTGAGATAATAAATAAATAACAAATATATAAAATAAATGAAGAGATATTTTTAATGTTTTTATTAAAATAATAACAATTAATGATATAAAAACATATGGATTTTGTTACTTTTAAAGCTTTAAAGCCTACTCGGTTCCTATATAAAATGGCCAAGTGATATCGCTTGCCATACTTGGATCATTGTTTCCAAATGAATTTTTTAAATCTTAATAATTCAAAAATTTTTTTCTCATTCGTCTCTAATAAATATATTATAAACTCTCATCTCATCTAAAAATATATATTTTTACAATCCTAAAAATTATCCTGATAATTTAATCATTTGAAATTATTTAACAAACCAACAAATCCACTGTAATAAATGCAATAAAGTAATCAATCAGTTTGTGATCGATCTTTGTGACATAATTAAATTATATCATTATTGCATATTTATTTTTATTTAATTATTATTTATATCTGAAAAAAAAACTAGTTAAATAAAATGAGAAAAGGTGTTTATAAAGTAGACAAAAAATTTGCTAATATTTTAGTATTTATGAGGTCAACGACAGCTGTCGTTGGACATATTTTCTGAACATTTGGTCGGTTCTCATTAAAAATTCTTTTAAAATTTCTATGATAAGCTATAAGGTATAGATTTTTTCATAAAAATCATCTTGATTCACATCAAAAAATTAGTTTTCGTTGAAAAAAAATCTGTTGCAATGCAATATTTTTTTAAAAATATTAATAAATTTCCTTGGAATTTCCATTTCATCGGTTAATAAAATCTAATTCGATTAGTTATATTTATATTGTGCGACAAATATAAAATAACATAGGAAAAAATTCTGCGAAAAAATTGCAAATTTTGTTTGCAAGAAGAAAAGTGGAAAGTAACTAAACACGACGAATACGAAAAAAAATACACAAAAATAGTTTTGAAAATTTTAAGGTTTTAAAAATAAAACAATAAAAAACACTAACTAATGACTCAAATTTTTCAAAACTTAAGGCTTATTCGATTAAAAGAAAATTATAGAAAAGTTCAGAAAAGAATTTCAAGAATCCACATTAATGATAATTTATTGATATTAGTGATAACAAATGATACATTTATAAAATTTTAAAATTATCCACCATAATAAAGGTATAATGCTATTTATTTTTTCTAATGCTAAAAAGCAAATAGTCGATTTATGAAAGAATCCATTCATTAATATAAATTCAGAAGAAAAAAAAAGAAAAATAGATAAATTTTAAAATTCTTTTATGAAAAAATTCTCTCACCTACTAAGCCAATTTACATTTAAAAAATCCATTTTCTGATGAAAATATTAGTAAAAATTTAAATATTAGTATATTAGTAAAAAATAAATTTAGAGTCATTCTTAATTTTGCAAAAAAAATCTAATTAAAATCTAACCAATTTTTTAGCACCTGAACAAATCCAATTCATAATTTTTAGCTGCGTCTCGAGATCGGGCCGCTCGTTGATTTCATTCTTATCAATCGCCTAAAATCAAAATATCAATGATTTTATGTACAACTGAATGAAAGTTTATCATCGCTGAAAATAAATAAAATTTTTAAAAGAATTATAAAAATAAAATAATGCAAAGAAATAAAATAAGAATAATATGAAACTAAGAAAAAATTAATAAATTCGCAAATAATAAATGATAAGCGAAGGCAAATTAAGAAATTAATTTATCTGTTAATCGAATTTGATCTTTTATATTTAATTTAATTTAAATTAAAGTGTTAAAAAAGTTGAAAGCATATTGCATTTGCTGATAAAAAAGTTTAAATAATAAAAAATCGTAAATTTTTAATTTTCTTAATTCAATCCGATATTGCTTCTTTTCGTTATTTCAAAAAATCTAAGTCAGCAGTTTAGCTTTTCAACATAAACATAAAATGAAGAATATGAAAATAAAATATAGGAAAAATCTGATATCTGATAGAAAAAAAAGGTGTTTTAATGAAAAAAAATTAAAAATTATAGCGTATTTTAACGAATAGAAATACAAGACGAAATGAAATTTGAAATTTGAGAAAGTTTAACAATTAGAGAAATGGGCTTAAAAGCATCAATGAAGTAAAAGGCTAACGGAAAAGCCATAAATGCTGAAAAGCATGGAAACAATTTGATTTATGGATAACATTAGAAAATTTTTCCAAACTAATTATGAGTGTTTTCGAAATAAAAACCAAAAATGACAAAACTTCACCTAATTTTATCAATAAATTACATTACTACCGTTGATAAATTACTTACTAAAATTGAATGAAATTTTATAAAAATAGCAAAAATCGTTGATTTGAGAGGCGTTAATCGTAGAAAGAATTCAAAATAAAAAATAAATAAACAAGTGAAAATGAATTGGCAAACGAATAATAATACACAGTGGACACAGGAGATAGCGAATATTTTATATTAGCTAATTACGCATTCATTGAGAAATCAACAAAATTCCAATTCCTTTCCATTATACGGAATAATTAAAAAGTGGCCTATCTATTGGATTTTGTCGTTAATGGTTTATTTCTTGCGAGAAATCGGAACCAAATCCATGCTATTTACCTTAGAGAATTAATATTGATATATGGCTTGATTCTATGCATCTATTGTCGAATTAATTTTTAGAATTTGGCCAGTTATTTCAAAAATTTATTTCAGTTCACTAATTAAATTCATTGCTAGCTAAAAATAATTCACCTCAATAAATGCTTTAAAAACATTCGAAGTGTGTTGAGATGATGATGTTGACGATGTTGGAATATCGGATGGCGGAGATTCTTCTGTGCTACTCGCAGTTGAACCTCTTCGATTTTCGGCACAATTATGGCAGTCTTCCCAATTATTTACATTGGAATCCCAATTCAGTAGCTAAATTAGCGAAAATATTTAATGGGATAAACTTCGTTAATGCGATAAGCACTTGCTAGAGAATTACTAAAATAGATGTGGCTAGCATTTTCCTTCAAAATGATAATTTAGGCTTCTCGTAACTAAATTTTCATTTAAAGAATTCAAAAATTATTGTTCTTTTCATCGAATAAAAATGAAAAAGGATTGTTTAACTATCGAAAATGATAATAATAATCATCGTCACTCGAATATTATTATTTTAGAAAATTTCCCTCAAATAGTGATAATTTCAAAAAATTTATTTGAAAAAAAATTAATAAATAGAAATTTAAAAACAAAAAAAACGGAAAATTATTACCTAACAAACAACTAAAAATCTCATTAAACAATGCAATAACGCATCCAAAATTGATTAATTTTTTCATTTAAAAATCTTCTACGGGCTTTTTATGAATTTATAAAAAATATTTATAAAAAATATTTGTCAATTCAATAATTTTATGAAAAAAAAAGTTTTTGTAAATCAGATTTTACAAACCGCATTATTGGTAATATTATTGGAATCTTTTGATTCACCACATTCATCACCACTCATTTCACGATTATTTTCCCTAAATAAATCACTCTCTTTCTTCTTTTTTGACGAAAACCAATTCCCTGAAAATAAAAATTTTTACCAATAAAATAATTCTCTTCTATAATTTCCTAAAATAAAACGACTTTTATAGAAATAAAGTCTAAAAAAAAAAAGAAAAATTACATAAATTAATCATTAATTATTGGCTAATCAATGGTTTTCTTTGTTGCAAAATTTTATTTCGACGAAATAAAAAATATAAAATATAAAAGGATTGGCTGACTACACATTTAATTATTATAAATTATAAATTCGGAAAATTTTTTCACTAAAAAAATTGAAAAAAATATGCAAAACTCGATTTTCTTCTCCTTTTTCCTTTGATCCTTATAGAATTGTATTATCTTTATTATCATTATTGTCATTATTATTACTACGTTTCAAAAATTTATGTCGATTGGTTAGAAAAAAACTAAATCTTTCATACACCCACATACATTAGCAGTTATTAGCACAATTTGTTGATTTAATTAAGACATCATTTATTGCTTTTGGTTTTTATTGCACAATTCAATATTTCAACATTTTGAATATTTAAAATTCATAAAAATTTTCGATATCGAAAGTTTATTGCTCTTTTATCGTTTGTTAACATGAAACAAGAGTTTAATTTTAGAAATACTTCGGCCTCAAAAATTCAGAACAACTAAATTTACATGCAAGAAATTTCTTTTATATCCTCCAATAATTATTTTATTATATTTATCATATATAATTATATAATTGTTATCTAAAGTTATCTAATTATTTAAAGAAGTTTATTTATTTTTATAGAAGTTTATTATAAAGAGTTTATTTATTTATTAAAACAATAAATAAATTTGGTAATTATTTATTAGTAATAAATAAATAAAGAAAAAGTAGAAATTTTGTACAAATTACAATGGATATAAAAATAGAAAATAATTAAAAAATATTTTAAATTTATAGAAACTTTAGGAAAACTTCATGAAACCTTAAAATTCTACAATGCTTGTTGCATAAAAATGAATACATGAAATCGCGACATAAAAAATTTCTCGAATATTTTTTTAAATGTATGGCTGCGTTTTGCCAATAGATTTCCAGGCATATGCACATGTATAAATATATACACCAGCGAACCATAGACAAACCATATGATAAAAATGATTTCGCTGTTAAAAAAATAAAATTTGAATAACTTTTGACGACGCAGTCAAAACTTAAATCTTAAGCGCTGTAAAATAATCAGCAGAAATTTTGAAAAAAATTAGAGAAAGCCTTAAATTTTCAAAAAATGAAAAGTATTTGTGATATAACATAATGGTGCTAAAATGATAGAAAGAGATAAGTCCATAAACTCCATAAGTCCATAATGTATTTAGTGGATACAAACAAACAAATCAAAATAACAGAGCCTAACACATTGACGATGAGCACTAACGCAGATGACAAATCAGTTGTTCCTATGCAAATAGTGTTCGAAATTCAGTTTCTCCTCGATTCAAAATACTAGGATAGCTGGATAAATACTAATGGTTCCTAGTGCCATGGTTCCACTCCTGCCTCCAGTATGAATGAACTCGCCACTTATAAATCCGAATGGTGATAACGATCAATCTCTACTTCGAGTGGATCTTTTTGGCGAAAATTTTATTAACTGATTTATTAACCGATCCAGCTAACCAGAAATGGTGAGTAACCATAAGCTAATTATAAGTAAGTTCACTTATTATTTACTGAATATTTTCCCATAATAATACAAGAAAAAACTAATGACAATTCAATCCAATATCATAGAATTATTTATCAACGAAGTAAGTTTGTTTGCTGCTAAATATTTCATAAATAATGAAATAGCCTAAGTTATCATTCATTATTAAAACATAGAAAGGCATGATACAATAAATAATATAATAGGTTGTTTCTTATTTATAAATGGCGAGACCAATACTAACTATCACTGGTATCATATTATTGACATAAAATGCCTGAAACAAGCCGACTCAGAGCAAAAAAGACGGACCCAACCGTAAATATATATAACCAACAATGAATGAGAAAACGATAATCGGCAATGTATTGAAAATTTATCGATTGAAGCAAGAATCTGTATATTATAAAACAGGTCGGGTCGGTTTCACATGTTTTTCGATAGAAATCTTCAATTTTTTTATAACGAAAGTTCTTCTATAGCATTAGAAATAAAATAAAAAAGTTTAAAATTTATTTTTTGCATGAAAATTTTTTCAAAATTTTTTAAAATTGCAGCGCATTGGTTCGGTAGGATGTTTGGATTAGGTCGCCTTACTCTACTGGAAGTACGATGAGAAATTTTTGCTAGAAAATTATTTGATAATAGAAGTAAAGATGGATATAATTTAATATAATCCAGTGTTTTTAGAGTGTATTTCGAATTTATTTATTTATTTATTTATTGAAAACCAGCCAAGCAAGGCGCAAGGCGCTGCGTGCTTTTATTAATAACAACAGTTAAAATAACAAATAATAAGAATTAATGACAAAAAAATAATAATAATAAAATAAAGTAAACAATTTAAAGATGAAGTAAAGAAGAAATTCAAAATAATATAATATAGTATAATTCGAAATAACTATAATCGGATTGTAAAAATCGAGATTTCACACTTTCTGCATGATGTGAATTTTTTAAATAATATCATAAATGATATTATCTATTCTTTTTTTTAAAGATAACTAGCGCACAAGCAATATCGTTCGGTAGTTTATTTCAGTAATTAATAGTATGAATAAAGAAGTCAAGAAGAGTTCTTAGATTAGTTTTACACACAGGTTTTAGTAATTTTAGCCCATTAGTTCTTGTTGGATTTAAATTTAACCTAAAATTATAATATTCTGAACAATCTAGTTTGATCTTACAAAATCTTAAAGTATAAATTAAATCTTGTTTAATACGACGAACCGGCATTAGGAGAAAGGTGTCGCATAAAATATTTTTTGAGTTCCTTCAATTATTTTACTTGATTTACGATATTTCGAGAGTAACATGTAGTATTATAGTCAAAAAGTGGCCCAACGAACGCTTTGTAAATTTTGATAAGGAAATCTTCAGTTTTGTTCTAAAATGAACGAAATATAAAATTTGGTATATATCTTTGAGGATTTTTTTACCATAGTTCTGCAGTCGAAATCGAGATTTTCACCATGATTATTCCAAGATCGAAAATGTGTGAGATTCTACTGATTATATTGCCATTAATAATAAGATTAGGAAAATCAAAATCTTTAGAATTGATATGAAGATATATTTTTGAAAGGAAAGGGTAATTTGCCTGTCATTCAGCCAGCTGGCTATTTTGTTGAGGTCTTCCTGCAGTGGAGATAGACTATCTGTTCTACCACGAGAATAATAAATTTTACGATCATCAGCATAAAAATAAATAGCAGCTGTCTATTTTATCATTTTTTTCAAATTTAATTTTTTTTTGTCTTTGGCAAGAGTAAACCTGCTATTATGTCAAAAATCCGGGTGGCTGCTGGGGACCTACCTGCAACTCTATCTCCAAGTGACTCTATGGTGAAATGGTCAGATACACTTGATACGGCGTCCGCGTCTCCCGACGCGCATGATACTCCCAGCGCGGTGGTACACGCGGTGTATAAATATATAATCCGGGCTTAAAGCGAGGCTGGTAAATAAAATGTGCTCTCAAGCCAGGGTAATTGCTCGAAACTTATCAAAGGGAACAGCCCCCTGCACGCGTGGCGAGGTATTAGCGGTATCAGCGTGGACGCTTATGGACGTTGCCAAGCGATCACTGTCCACATCCTGTCTAAGTATTGTGTGGATACCGCTTACTTGTCAGAGGTCCGTCTTCCTCACTTTGGACCTCGAACAATTATTAATCCTGGTTCAGAGCAGAGATACTGGCTATATCACTATGATGCTTCGAATAACTTGGGACGAAATGGCGTAGGATTGTTATGTCTGACAAGGCCCATTCCACTTTGAATGAGTGAAACCGGTAAACGACCGTATGATCTATATCCGTATGCCCCTTTTAAAGATAAGTTCTGCAATATCTTGGTCATCTCTGTCTATGCTCCAACTCTGTCGGCAGATGACCGTGATAAAGACAAGTTCTTTGCGGAACTTCAACTGCTAACAAAGTCTCTACCGAAACATGATCATAATAGGGAGAGACTGGAATACTCGCGTATATCATAATGCCGCTGCGATGCCCTCAACAATTGGCAAATATGGCATCGGAGACTGATGTGCCAATGGGGAACGTCTTCTTCGTTATGCCGAAGAGCATTTTTGTTAATACTTCCTTCCGGCATATAGAAAACATCTAGTCACGTAGAACATCCGGGACAACCAACATTTTAACCAAATTGGTTGGAAGAATTCCGTACAGGATAGTCGTTCCTATCGCGGAGCTGAACGGGCAATCTTCATGAATCTGACCATGTTATGGTTCGATGGTTTGAGCCAAGATCCGCATAAAATTGATAAACTCGCCGAAAATAGCATTCCTGAAGATCCTTCAATTGTCTCAAACTAAAAAACTCCGGGGTATTGAGCGCATTTCAAACCGAATTGTTGAATCATCTCAACGATTCAAATATCAATGACATTTCTGGAACGGCAAATGAATACTGGTCCAAACTAAAGGAATGTCTCCGAAAATCAGCCACTTCCACGGACATACTAGTAGGAAGTATGCTAGTTGGATATCGGAAACAAATGGACGCTTCCAAGCTGCCAAAACAAGAATATAATAGATGAATATGATAGCCTTCGCTGGTTAGGACATTCTCCGTCGTCCACCCCAGGAGCTGACGCATATTTCGTTATTTGCTAAATCATATGATGGTTGGCGTCAAAAGCGAGATGAGCCAATCAAGACCTGGATTGATATAGTCAAGAATGATTTTGAACGTATAGGTGGACCACATGGACTTAGACGATGGAAAAAGGAATGGTTTCTATTATTGTCAACGATGACATC